ACAGAATATAAGAGCGATGTGTCCCATACTCGGGGTGATCTGTTATGTGATGATAGAACTCTCATCTGTCCGTGTGTAGAAATGTATAGCTGGATGTTCTGGTTCAGCAGTATAGGATGGGGTTATAGGTCAGTGTGCCAATCTAATATATATATATAATATAGCGATAGATCATTATGGGGTATAATATGATTGCGGTGATAAGAGGGAAGTAGAGTCCGATGTGCCTACAGCTGAGATGGTACTTTACCGCTGCGATATGTCCGTGTATGTCCCCGAGGGGGATGTAGTGCTATAATGTGTCCCTGCTATAGATCTGGGGTTACATCGTGTACGGACGATGTGTCCCTGCCATAGATCCGGGGTTGCACCGTGTACGGCCGGTGTGTCCCTGCCATAGATCCGGGGTTACACCGTACAGGGGCGATGTGTCCCTGCCATAGATCCGGGGTTACACCGTACACGGACGATGTGTCCCTGTCATAGATCTGGTGAGATAAAGTATATATAATCGAGCGGGAGAGAGAAATCTGTATTTGGAAATATAATGTATAGAGACGATGTCGTATATGTGGCGAGCGATGTACTGTGTCCGGGAATATAATGTATATGGACGATATCTCTTCTATATCTGGAAATCTAGTATGAGGACGATGTGTCGGTGTTGTATCTCCCATGTAGCTGTCTCACAGACACGTCGTACCTCTGTATACATTCTGATTGTATATAAGACTCATTGTTCCTCTATGACTTGCCGGCTCTATGTCAGACACATCGTAGCTATACTTGATGCTATGATTCAGCTGTAGCCACGAAACGATGTGTCCGAGTAAATGTCTCGGAATATAATGTATAGGGACGTCCTTGTTTATACCGTCCTAGCTGTGTATCGGACACATCGTACGTACCGTCCTGGCTGTGTATCAGACGCATCGTACGTTCCGTCCTGGCTGTGTATCAGACGCATCGTACGTACCGTTCTGGCTGTGTATAGGACACATCGTACGTTCCGTCCTGGCTGTGTATCAGACGCATCGTACGTTCCGTCCTGGCTGTGTATCAGACGCATCGTACGTACCGTTCTGGCTGTGTATCGGACACATCGTACGTACCGTTCTGGCTGTGTATCGGACACATCGTACGTATCGTCCTGGCTGTGTATCGGACACATCGTACGTATCGTCCTGGCTGTGTATCGGACACATCGTACGTATCGTCCTGGCTGTGTATCGGACACATCGTACGTATCGTCCTGGCTGTGTATCGGACACATCGTAGCTATAGTTGGGGTATTATCCAGCTGTAGCCACGAAGCGATGTGTCCGTGTAGTATAGCCGGGAGGGAAGGTAATGTCTGGGAATTACGATGTGTCTGTAGAGGGGTGATGTATAATATATCGGTGATATAGTAACGAGAATATATTGTACAAGTGCGATGTATAGATATTGATGTGTGATGTGTCCCTGTACTCTACATGGGGAGTCGGACGTGTCCGGGTCATATATCAAATGTCACCGTGGGTGCGGGTGTGATGTATTAGTTACTGTGAGCCTTCGTAATTATATATATATATATAGGGTTACTATGAGTCCGAGTGAAATATATAGGTCTCCGTAGGTTCATGTTCGGGGACGATGTGTCGGTGACATATATAGGGGTCTGTAGGGTCATGTACAGGGGAAGATGTGTGGGGTGACCTATATATGGGTCTGTATGGTCATGTACGGGGGACAATGTGTCAGGCGACATATCTAGGGGTCTATAGTGTCATGTACGGGGACGATGTGTCAGCTGACATGTATAAAGGTCTATAGGGTCATGTACAGGGGAAGATGTGTCAGGTGACCTATATATGTGTCTGTAGGGTCATGTGCGGTTGCAATGTGTCAGGTGACATATTTAGGGTCATGTACAGGGGACAATGTGTCAAGTGACTTATATAGGGGTCATGTATGGGGGACAATGTGCCAGGTGACATATATAGGGGTCTACAGGGTAATGTATGGGGACAATGTGTCAGGTGACATGTATATATCATCCCCCACAGCCACTTCCGCCTGTACCACTACCCCCTCCCTCCTAGATTGTAAGCTCGAAAGAGTAGGGCCCTATAACTCCTCGTGTGCTGTTTGTAGGTGCTGTAATGTTTCATGTATTGTCCCCCCCTCTATTGTACAGCGCTGAGCAAACCCTTTGGCGCTATATAAACTAGATGTAATAATAATAATAGGGACCTATAGGATCATATATGGGGATGTGTCAGGTGACATGTATAGGGGCCTATAGGGTCATGTACGGGGACAATGTGTCGGGTGGTGTATAGGGGTCTATAGGGTCATGTACAGGGACGATGCTTCGGGTGACATGTATAGGGGCCTATAGGGTCATGTACGGGGACAATGCGTCGGGTGACATGTATAGGGTCATGTACAGGGACGATGCGTCGGGTGACATGTATAGGGGCCTAAAGGGTCATGTACGGGGACAATGCGTCGGGTGACATGTATAGGGTCATGTACAGGGGGACGATGCGTCGGGTGACATGTAAAGGGATCTATAGGGTCATGTACGGTGGACGATGCATCAGGTGACATGTATAGGGGTCTATAGGGTCATGCATGGGGACGATGCATCAGGTGACATGTATAGGGGTCTATAGGGTCATGTACAGGGACGATGCGTCGGGTGACATGTAAAGGGGTCTATAGGGTCATGTACGGGGATGATGCATCAGGTGACATGTAAAGGGGTCTATAGGGTCATGTACGGGGATGATGCATCAGGTGACATGTAAAGGGGTCTATAGGGTCATGTACGGGGACGATGCATCAGGTGACATGTATAGGGGTCTATAGGGTCATGTACGGGGACGATGCATCAGGTGACATGTATAGGGGTCTATAGGGTCATGTACGGGGACGATGCATCAGGTGACATGTATAGGGGTCTATAGGGTCATGTACTGGGACGATGTGTCGGGTGACCTATACAGGGGTCTATAGGATCATATATGGGGACAATACAGCATAGTGACAAATACAATATTATGTCCCCGGGTGATAGAAATGGGGGGGAGGGTGTGCAGGGTGTAGTTACAAGGCAAACCAAGCATTTGCCTAGGGCAGCATTTTTAAAGGGGGGCAGCGCTGGCCCCGGAAGAAGGGACAGAAGAAGACACGCGGCATGGGACCAGGTGGGATCCGAGAGAGGCTGCGGGCTGTCTGATGGTGCATGCAGAGCCCGACTCTCATTCACGAGGATGGCCGGAGCTGTGAAGGTGATTGCGTTCTCTCTCTGGCCGGGAGGGGAAGGCAGTATATGGGGGGCAATGGTAGAGGAAGGCTCTCTCGGGTGGGGGATCAGGGGTCTTGTTGGTCAATGTCTCAGGCTTTCTCCTCCAGGGGGGTGGTGTTGGTCGGTGTCGGGCTCTCTCCACAGGGGGGTGGCCGATATTTGTCTTGCCTAGGACAGCACAAAACCTACATACACTACTGGGGGGGGGGGGGGGTATAGACGAGTGGACGATGTGGATTGTACAGGGCGATGTTCCCGAGTGATCTGTGTGTACAGTATGTGTCCGCGTGTTCTAATACATTGTATGGAGGTGCGGTGTGTGGTCTGGTCTATGGCTAGGAGTACGTAGAGGGCCGATCGATGTGTGATCGGGGTACAGTAGTATGGATCGTACATTGTGGGGTAACGTGTCCTCCATGCGGTGTGGTGATCGGAGCTCTCCTCTGATGAATGGCTCTCTGAGCTCCTCTCCGCTCCATCCATCTCCGGCTCCCCCGGGACTCTACGAGAGGGATGGAGCCGGCAGGACGGAGCGAGGAATGCTCTGCTGTCTGGATTACACCGGAGGAGGGGCCCATCGGGGGTTCAGTCTGTAATGACGACAATTATAACTGCGAGACTCCGGCACGGTGATCGCCGCCTGCACCGTGCCGGGATCGCTGACAGATGATTGCCGCTGACAAATGACTGCGGAGCTCCGAGGGTTAATGAGATCGGCTGGTGACCTATAAACGACCTCAATTTACATCTCCCCCTCCCCCCTTTTTGTTACTGGGAACAGCAGTCGATCCCCTCCCCATGGCTGTGTTGTGGATGACCCGGGGAAAGAAGGTGGCTGCCTGTGTCTAGCGTGGCAATGCCCGATGTGTGTCCAGCGTGGCATCGCCCGATGTGTGTCCAGCGTGGCAATGCCCGATGTGTGTCCAGCGTGGCAATGCCCGATGTGTGTCCAGCGTGGCAATGCCCGATGTGTGTCCAGTGTGGCAATGCCCGATGTGTGTCCAGTGTGGCAATGCCCGATGTGTGTCCAGCGTGGCATCGCCTGATGTGTGTCCAGTGTGGCATCGCCTGATGTGTGTCCAGTGTGGCATCGCCCGATGTGTGTCTAGCGTGGCAATGCCCGATGTGTGTCCAGTGTGGCATCGCCCGATGTGTGTCCAGCGTGGCATCGCCCGATGTGTGTCCAGCGTGGCATCGCCCGATGTGTGTCCAGCGTGGCATCGCCCGATGTGTGTCCAGCGTGGCATCGCCCGATGTGTGTCCAGCGTGGCAATGCCCGATGTGTGTCCAGCGTGGCATCGCCCGATGTGTGTCTAGCGTGGCAATGCCCGATGTGTGTCCAGTGTGGCATCGCCCGATGTGTGTCCAGCTTGGCATCGCCCGATGTGTCCAGCGTGGCATCGCCGATGTGTGTCCAGCGTGGCATCGCCCGATGTGTGTCCAGCGTGGCATCGCCCGATGTGTGTCCAGCGTGGCATCGCCCGATGTGTGTCCAGCGTGGTATCGCCCGATGTGTGTCCAGCGTGGTATCGCCCGATGTGTGTCTAGTGTGCCATCGCTCGATCTGTGTCTATTGTGGCAATGCCCGATCTGGGTCTAGTGTGCCATTGTCCAATCTGTGCCCCCAGTCTCATGTTCTTCTCATCTTTCCATACAGGGGACACGTTGACCGGACACAGGAAGGCTTTGCTGGGAAGGGGGCGACATGCTTTCGGCAACCCCCCTGTATGGGAACGTACATAGCTGGATGAGCAATGAGAGAGTCCGCATGTGTGGCATCAATGAAGACAGGTAATGGCCCTAATTAATCTAAATTACAGCATCTGCTCAGCCGCCTCCATTAATCAGCACCGAGGAGCCCCGCATATGGAAGGCTGCCTCCCCCGTCCTCCGGAGACTCTGATCACATCGTGCCCTGTGACTGATGAATGTTGGAAATGCTCTTCTGAGCCCACATTGGGGGATTATGGAAGATCGGCTCACCAGTTTCTATAGGCACACTGGGGCTCATTCACATAGGTGCAGATAACTGTACACCATGAAACATGCATGTATTGTGACCGGTAAATCAATAACAGGCTGGATTTTGGTAACCACACTTCTGGTGAGAGATGTCCAGTGCTGCATACAGGGGCACATTTCTGTCCTTGTACTCCGTGAATGAGGCCCATGTACAAAAGCAATATAACATATGGTTAATTTGTTGTGTGATTGTGGTGCGGTAATGGTGTACATTCTAGAATCCCTTTAAACTTCGAATATTGGCACAAGTACTTGAATTTTTGGCCCATGCTATTAGACAATAATAGAAACTGCCACATGTCACAGTTAACCCCTTGCTGCCACCTCCTGCCAGACCCTTAGCCTAGGTTCACATCTGTGTTATGTGCATGCAGGTTTTGCAAACACACATCGCAGGTACAGCAGGCCATTCATATGAATGGTGGTTGAAAACAAGTTTGCGCACCTAAACCCCCTTAAATATATGTACCCTAAAAGCAAACACAAGAGTGTAAATAGTAAATATGATCAATCAATATAGTGCTGCAGCATTCTATTGATTGATTCTTTGTTTAATTGGGGTGCTGTACTGGTGAGAAACGCGGGATAGAAGTCCCCAAACCTTTTTTTAAAAAACGCACTGCAGGGAACAGCATGGTTGTGCGCAGCATGAAAACATACACAGGTACCAATGCGTGGGGGGTGCCATGACACCCCCATGCGTTTAAGAAGCAGAACATTTCTGTGCAGGTCCTGAATGTGTTCCCGACCCACGCATATGTGAACCGAGCCTTAAGCAGAAAATAACTCCGGGAGGGGGCGTTCCAGATCATATGATCACTGTGAGTGGCTGTCAAAGCAGTCACATGATTGGGAGCCCCTTCTTCAGGCTTCTTATCATAAATGATTGATTAATAGTGACCACTTTGTCAGCACAGAACAGCGGAGCCCTATGGGCACACATGTGGCAGCCTAGGGTTAAGGCCCAGCCCAGCACTGCCACATATATTCATTACATTCATTACATTGGCAAGGATAGGTTAAAGTTTCTTGGCACGGTTGAAGCAGCAGCACAGAACTTGTATAATGGTGTTGATTTGGTTCAATGGAAAATGCATGAATGTTTACACTAAAAATACAAGCATTTCCCCTTTTAACCCCCTCTTTATTTCTTCATTAGATTGTACAATGTGATTGCAACATGTGTGTCAGCTTTAGCGATCCCGAAGGCTATATCCTTATCACTTGTACACAGCCATCATTTTATTATAAATGAACAATTATTTTTTAAGAAAACATAGCTATTGCAGACCTTTTCCAGACTGTCTCTGGGTGTGTTGGCAAACACTTCAGAGTGCTCATTATCAGACAAGTGTTATCCCCCACACAGCCCTATTATTGGAATTGGCACTTTAGTTGCTTTGCCAATATGAGATGATATATGGCCATACAAAGGTCAGCTGACTGCCAGGAGGTTTTTCCTATGAAAGGTATTTAAAAAAACATGAACACTGGTTGTGTGAACAGTCTCTTTTTTTTTTTCCTATTTTTTAACTTTCATCATCGCCCCCTTTTGGTGGTTGGCTTCACATTAGCGCATTAGGGTAGAGAGCAGCAAAAGGCACATTTTGTGTGCCGCATTACCAAAAACACTGCAGGAGTAGCTTTTTGAGCCTTGAGATGCGCTACAAGCCCATTGAATATAAGCCCATGGACTGGTGTGAAGGGGCCCGGGGTCACAGCTCCTAGTCTGAAATTAGCCTTCCAGGCAGCAGTGGTGACATCTGCAGGCCAAACTAGGAACTACTGAATTTGAAAATAAGTATATTGCAAACAAAGCATTAAAAACAATACTTATATGTTCAGTGGCAAAAGTGAGTTTCTTTTATTTTGATATTTTTTATACATCACAAGGAAAAAATTAAAACCGTGTTTACTCTTATGTTAACTTATTTAGGCTCAAATAGTAACTGCCCACTAATAAACAAAAATCATTAACATTAGCTAGAGCAGATGGTATCACTGTATTATTGTTAATCATTTGATATTAATGTAATTGTTCTGGAAGAAAATGTGAAAATTGTGCTCTGTTTTTAAGAATGCAGTGTGTTATTATTAGCAGGCTTATTCAATTTTCTGTTTTGTGATTGATTTTTTTTTTTTAATTTTTTTATTTTTTTTTTTTTTTTTCATATAAGTAACTTGTGCTGTTTTTCTACAGTGAACCAGCGAAAGGGTTTGTACACGCTTATGGTCTACATTGTTCATGATTACAGATTTTCTTAATCTCTTTTCAGGAAAATTCTAATTAATGATGGCGACATTCAGAAAGCCAGACTTGAACTGAGAGAGGATCATCTCGGTCACAGCTTGGTAAGAGCTGAATAAATAAATAGATACGCAGAGCAATCTTATCAATTTTGACTAGTCCATGAAAAATGACTTAAAAATACAAGTTATGACGTCAGCTACAACATGATTAAAGTATTTTATACATAGCTTTGAGTTTGTTGTGAAGTGTATTGGAAGTTTATTGGTCCAAATTGGACAAATTTTGATCCATCTATGGGCAGGCTGGTTGTACACAAATTGATCGATACATCGACTTGGGTGCAACCAGCCTGTTAGAAAATTTTCTCTCAATCAGCACCACCAGCTATAGTTGGCAGTGCTGATGGGTGTATTCTGATGGCAGGAAAGTCTTCCCACTGTCAGAATACAATAGCTCAGCAGGAGGGATTATCCCATCCACATCGATTGTGTGGATGGAGAATCGAGTCTTTTTCTGTTGTTCAACCAGCTGGTTGAATAAAAAAAAAAAATGACTGCTCTATGGCCAGGCATGAAAACAAGTCAGTGTTTAAAAGATTGCTTGTTTTTGTCTCCAATACAAGTACACTCTTTAGCACTTTTTGAACAGACCTTCCCCACCCTTTCTTTCTCCAAAAGGTTCCAGACATTGCCGGAAGTGTAAAGCAATTGTGCGATAGCCCAAAGCTTCTATTCTTTCCAACAATGTTTTGTGCCAGCCAAAGTGGCTATTTTAATCATGGGGCAAGAAATTCTGTTTTATTCAATGTGCAGTATCTAACTAGTGATGGTTTAACAGGAGAACTTCATTTTAATCTTAGACATCTACATATGTGTAGTAGAAGTTCCATTGTAGAAGAAGAGAATGATAGACTGAGTGATTATTATTCGGTGTTCCAGATGTTGTTTTAGAATAATGCTTCATGTTCTTGTATGTCTGAACCTCAGCATTTTGTGTAATGACTAGTCAATTTGTTAAAGGTAAATTGTTCCCTGCTTACATAGATTGCAGAATATGCACCATTGAGTATTTTAGTTCCATGCGGAAATGTCAGGAAGGCTATATAATTATGAGTTGCTCTCTAGTGCACTCTGTTCTTTTTTTAGTTTTAACATTCTGTACGGACATGGTATTATCATCCATAAATTTAATTCAGTCAGCAGTTAAAGGCAGATTATGGTGCAGGTTATTTTTTTCTTCTTGCATCCTTCACTTAGGTAAAGGTATATCACACTGCGCTATGGGGTTTTACTTAAAAAGTAAAACATAGATTGACCACACCACTCTAGTGGCAAGTTGTAACCGTGTCTGTACCTACCAAAATTGATGACTGTCCATGTTACTGCACATGGGGTTGTCTGGCTTGGTTCAATGTTTATGCATAAGTGGAAATTATAAAGTGATCTAATGCTTATATTCTCCCATTTAACAGAACAGTCACTGGTAATCGTTTTTACTTATTTGATTCTCTTTTTTTTTTTCTTGTTTTTCTCATGTTTTTACGAAGGTGGACGCGGCAGCTGTACACAGAATGGATGGCTTAACAGCTCTTGGCATGGACCGAACTGGACTTATGCAGGATGGTTTGCGAGTACCAGGTGGCATGATCTATTCTAGTTTATGTGGTCTTGGCACTGATAAAGTCAGAGAACCTTCCAACCAAATTCCAGGCCTCGGATATGCACCTGAGCGAAATCCTGATCTTCAGTTTAAGCCAAATGCTGCTGATACAATGGATAGCTCTTCTATAACTGGAAAACAGCCAAATGGCTTTAACTCGTTGTTTAAAACCCCACCAGGACTGCAAAAGACATCTGTCCCTACCAGTGAGGCACTCGTTTTGGACAGAACAGCAAATGACAAGCAGAGTCCTCTAGGTATTAATGGTGCTAACTACTTACGGATTCCATGGATGCACCCCTATATGGACAATACTTCTCCAGCTATGTATCCCTTCATTGACTCACCAAATAAGTATTCTCTAAACATGTATAAAGCATTTCTACCTCAGCAGTCTGCTTATAGTTTGCCACAGCATTTGGCCTACTCACCTGTCTGTCCAAATGGTGAGCGCTTTGTATACCTTCCACCTTCCCATTATGTAAGCCCCCACATTCCATCAACTTTGGCACCTCCCATGAGGATTCCTGCACCATCAGCAGCTCCTGCAATACCCACTACTGTTCACTGTCTAGAAAAGAATTTACCTTGGAAAATGGGAGTTAGCACAGGATCCACTGTTGATCCACATGGATATTCACACATGCAGACCAATAAGCAACCAAGGGTTCCCTGTTCAAAGTCTGTTGCAAGCAGTATCTCTCCAGAAGCCTCACTGTTGTTAACACCATCTCAGAGACCATCTCCGAGACTTCACCAGCCGAGTCAACCTGTTGGGGACAGCTACACAGATTTTCAAACATCGTATGTCAAAATCTCAACCCCACCTACTTCTGTTGTTCACACTAAAACACACAATAGTGTGATCAGTGAGCTTACACCATTACGGCCATCCAGCACGAAAACCAACAAGAGTATTGAAAGTGAGATTGCGCAGATACCAGCACCTTCTAAAAAGCATTTGAAGGAAAGAAAAGAAAGCAGGTCTCCTGGCTTGGTGGGAAAGCAGACACCACCCTCACAAAGATGGAGTGGAGAAGCCACTTGATTTGTCTTCAAAACTTGGTGATGTAGAGATGTCGGCCATGTTGCTTTCAGGGCATTCAGGGACTACTCTGGGAATGAACCCCAGGGACATTCAGAAAACTGCTATTTCACCATCTGGGAGTGGCAGCTCTGTATATCGACCTGAAATAATTAGCACTGCTTCATCATCATGGGTAGTGCCTGGCATGACTAGCACAGAAGACATGAATGGCATGATTATGCCACTTAAAAACAAAGCATTGGAGAGGGTGATGCCACAGCAAAGAAGTTCCTCATGTCCTCGTATGGGGAGCTCAGAAGGAGTTATCAGTAGCACTACCAGTTGTGTGTCTAGTGCAGGTCGTCCAGCATCTGCTTCACCTGCACCCAATGCCAATGGGGAAAATAAAAGCCCTGCAGACAACAGCAAGTCTGTCTCACAACAGGTTCAACCTACAAGTACACCCAGTAAGAGCAGCAAGGCACCAAAGCCTTCTGTCCTGGAGTCAACCTTAAAAGTGAGTGAAAGTGGTCTACCTCCTGCTCCTATGTTCTTGCCTCAGAATGAACCCTTCTGCTCTACACCCTTGGCTTATCCAAGCAGTTTTATCCCGTACCAAGTTTCTGAGAGTCTTGCTCTCTCTCATTTACACTTACATGGCAAAGCTCCTGTGTATCCCCACCCTGTCTTGTTGCCAAGTGGAAGCCTTTTCCCCAGTCCAATGGCACCAAAGCCAGGAATTCCCTACAGCATACCCACTACCAGGGATTACATGACCTACCAAGATACTTTGGGCATGGTCCATCCAATTTTGCTACCACCTCCCTCTATGGAAATAAGTAAGGATGACAAGGCAGAGAGGAGATCAAGGTCACACGAGAGACCTCGATATGAGGAACCTGTTGGCCGGGGTAGATTATTGGATATATCTGACTCCACTCCAAAGCAACATTTTGAAGTTACAGCAGATAAGACTATGAAATCCCACCAGCAATCTGTGGTAACCATAAAGCATGCTTCAAAACCAGATATGTTAATTTCTAATGGAGAAAAAGACACAAAGACTGACAATCATTTCACTGTTAATGGTTTTGTGCCTGAAAAGTCTGTAATGAACGATCAGCAGAAATTGGAGCAGGCCTCACAACAGCGGGATATGGTGATACTTGGGGATGAAATGATCAGAGAGGACATTTCAAGAAAGAGTGACTTTCATGAATCTTTTCAGGTCCCTAGACCATCTCAGAGCTCAACCATTTTTCCATTTAGACAGGAGAACCTTTCAGGAAACCAAAGCGTGGATTGCACTGCAGTTGAACCTTGCGCTCGCTTCATGGTTCCTAGTCAAAATCGAGATTCACCGGCTGGATTTTATGGCCATCCACAGGAAAAACTGCATCAGTTTGTTTTGACAAATGGCCATATAGATTCTGAAATGGCTGAAAGAGCCATCAAAGATACTTGCGAGGAATTTGAAACTATAAATGGGAAACTTGTGAAAACAAAGTCCTCAAAATTGACTAAAAGGATAGCAAACTCTGCCGGCTATGTGGGGGATCGGTTTAAATGCCTGACTACTGAATTGTATGCAGACTCAAGCCAACTAAGTCGTGAACAAAGGGCTTTGCAGGTGAGTGCATCTGTTTTTATGCCTCCTTAATGTATTGTATTTGTGTTACTGCATCTGTATCATTGCTTAAAGCTGGATGAAAAATGATGTCTAATTTAAGTAACTGAGATGATGGCAGATCCTTGCAGGGAATCTGTCGAGGATAGAATTACAGCTACCATTTCTGACCGATTTTAAAAGCTGCAACAAACAGAGCTGTCTTGCCTATCTTTTTTTTTCTCTACCTAGTGAAACTTGGAACAAGCATGTGCATGTCAGGATACCGGATATGCGCTTGCTTGTTCAGCATTGGTGGTTCACTAGATAAAGATAAACCGTGTAAGGCCAGATGCTCAGGCCTACAAAAATAAGTTGGCACTGGCAGTTCTCGTATTGCTCTTTTAATAGTTTGCTTTTTTGAAATGTATTCAAATTTTGCCAGTTCTCCAGGGAATAAATAGATTTGTGATCCAATACCTCACCTTTGCTTTAAAATTTAATTCGCCTTAGACTCAAATGGCAAACATTTTCCAGTATGCTGCAGGGGATCCATTGTAGCTGGACTTTTCTTATAAAACCATGCCCTGTATAAATCGGAGATAATTTTAAATTGGTCGAAAGTAATTAAAGTGCAAAATCTGCCAAGACGGAAGAAAATAGCTGTTTTAGCTCCCTTTTGTGAGTTTGCTGTTCCATTCTGAGAAAACCCCCAAACTCACATCCTGTTTGCTTAAAAACGATGGCCTCTCTGTACTTCCCTGGTACAATGTTTGCTTTGAATTCATTTTAGACTGTCTGCTTTTGACACCTAGCAATGTGTTTAGGAGCTTGCACTAATGAATTTTGTACTAGACTTTTGTAGTCTCTATTTTACATATGCATAAACCCTTATAAAAGATAACTGAAGCACAAAATGGCTCGCTTTCTGCTTAATAGACTTGCTGGTTGTTGGCCTGCAGTGTCAGTGTGTTTGCTTTATTTTATATCCTAATTATCTGAAACCTAAATAACTTCTTATTTTCAAATTTCCATAAGCTCTGAAAGTTAATTGAAATAATATTGTGTTTCACCTACTGCTAAATTGGCTTTAATGTTTGCTGCAAACTTCGCACAAAGTTAGAATTGTTTATAGTAAGTACTGCTTCTGTAGCAAGTTGGCCAATTTGAGGCAAGCTGTATTAAACTGTTCGTATAAAATGTATTTGCTGCATTGAAATTGGGTGATTATCTAGAAAATGTATTAAGTGCCCATTTTAATTACTTAGATGGAAGGCTTACAAGAGGACAGTATTTTAAGTCCACCTGCTGCTTACAGTGAGGTCAGTCTTTCAAATTTTAATTATTTAGATGCTTCTGCATTCTTCCTTCCTTTACAAGTATGTGATGAGCCATGGTCATTGTGTTTTGAAATATATCGCCACACGTGCGTTTTGCTAATTGGACACTTCCCTTGCATGTAACAGTGCATCCAAATATTCTTCTACTTTAATTTACACATTCTTAACTTTTTTTTTTTATATCTTTTTGCTCTGTTCCATATAAATTTTTTATGTTTGTGGGGATGAAATGTGTCAGGCGTATGTGCTTTGTTCACTGTTCTATTTTAAGATCAACATTGCCTGGATTATTTAAGCATGCTTTTGCATTTTAAATGGCTGCACTGTGATGCTCAATCTTGTTCAAGAGGTCGGCAGGTCACCATGGATTTGTGATGTCATTCGTGTCCCGTTCATTTATAGGTGTCCACCTGACAGTTCATGCACAAAAAAATGGCTATTACATATACTGCTGCCATAATTACTGGCTGATCTTTTAACGTGTATCTGTCAACCATACTATACACAGCTGTTTGGCAGGTTCCACATATATTTAGCCAGTTTACTAGGGACAGGGTGGCATCATGAGGCTGTAGGGTGTAGCAAGTTGGTACGATGCATTCTCTGAGTTGCTATTACAGCCAAATATCTTCCTCAGCTGAAACAGGTACCCTTTGGAGGGTCAGTCTGCCCAAATATTTTACTCTCAGTTCCCAGCTCTGCCTATCTGCCACAGTCTTTACATGTTGTCACTTTCTAATTATTGAATTCTTTAGTTAAAATATACATTTATTTATGTTAAGGCACATTTTGGAGTGAGACTCCCTTGCATAGACTTCATTGGTGCACCATAGTGAAGTGCCACCTTTATCCCACCTTTTGTAGGTCATGACACATATGTAAATCTGGTAGCTATTGTCGAAATCTACACAAAGATCAGATTTTTGTTTGGTGGACAGACCCTTTTAACGTTGAGTATGGGTGTCTTCCGACAAAAACTCCATGATCCCCGCATGCAACACATTATCCTTTAGCTTTGTGAGTGAATCTAAACAGCTACAGGTATTGTGTTTCTTCATCTACCTCTTGCAAACCCTTTTCTGCATGCTGCAAGCCATTATGGAAAGAATACACCTAAACAAATGATGGATCTTCATGTATACTGCTGAAAATAGTATTGCACCCTGTTCGACATCACTGTGCTCGTGAAGAGTTAACGTTCAGCCCCTCCTACATTGCGGAGCCGCTGGCAGCACGAAGAGAGGGCAGAAGTGTGCTTTTCATGAATAATTTCCAGAGAATGACCGGGCAGCTGCAGTATTAATTCTCCAATGTCAGGAGTCACATCACAAATTCATAACTGCTGTCCTGTTTAAAGGCAACTATACCTGTGCAAATGAGTTGGACTTGGGCTGCGAGGTTAACTCCTTTTTACTCCTTTTGATATTTAATTTAATGAGACTGCTTTTTTGATGTAACTGTTTAAAGTACTCCAAGCTAATCAGTTTTTTAAAAAAAATCCAAGATCCGGGTGAAGGAAAGGTTGCTGACATAGGTGCCTCTGCAGATGTAATTAAAGGAGTCAAAATATAGTAGTATACAATTATGTTGTTGACTGTACCATTGTAAACTGTTCTGTCAACAGCCAAGCACACATAGTGATATCTTTAGCTCCCAGCAAATATTCTCATACATCAAAACAGATCCAATATAGTACTGAGTGGTTACTGCTTGCCCTTGTTGAATATGTCATAGATTAAGGACAAATAAAAACTATTATTATACAGGATTTATAGCACCAACTGTTTGTACAGCGCTTTACAAAATAAAGGGAGGCAGTACAGTTACAATACAGTCCAATACCAGAGGCTTAGGAGGGTCTAGCTCGTGAGAGCTTACAATCTAAAACTATGTTAATTCCATATATTTTCAAGACTTTAGCCATGCAATTGTAGTCTTTCAGTTATACAGTGGCTTGCAAAAGTATTCATACCCCTTGAAATTTTACACATTTTGTCAACCAAAAACGTGTATGTATTTTGTTGGGATTTTATGTGGTAGACCAACACAAAGTGGTACCTAATTGTGAAATGAAAGGAAAGTAATAAATGGTTTTCAAAATTTTTTACAAATAAATATCTGAAAAGTGTGGTGTGAATTTGTATTCAGCCCCCTTTTACTCTGATACCCTGAACTAAAATCTAGTGGAACCAATTGCCTTCAGAAGTCACCTAATTAGTAAATAGAGTCCACCTGTGTGTAATTTTAATCTCCCTATAAATACAGCTGTTCTGTGAAGTCCTCAGAGGTTTGTTTGAGAACATTAGTGAACAAACAGCATCATGAAGGCCAAGGAACACACCAGACAGGTCAGGGATAAAGTTGTGGCGAAGTTTAAAGCAGGGTTAGGTTATAAAAAAATATCCCAAACTTTGAACATCTCGCAGAGCACTGTTCAACCCATTATCCAAAAATGGAAAGAGTATGGCACAACTGCAAAACTACTAAGACATGGCTGTCCACCTAAACTGACAGCCTGGGAAATGAGAGCATGAATCAGAGAAGCAGCCAAGAGGCCCATGATAACTCTGGAGGAGCTGCAGAGATCCACAGTTCAGGTGGGAGAATCTGTCCACAAGACAACTATTAGTTGTACACTCCACAAATCTGGCCTTTCTGGAAGAGTGGCAAGAAGAAAGCCATTGTTGAAAGAAAGCCATAAAAAATCCCATTCGCAGTTTGTGAGAAGCCATGTGGGGGAAACTGCAAACATGTGAAAAAAGGTACTCTGGTCAGATGAGACCAAAAGTGAACTAAAACTAAAATGCTATGTGTGGTGGAAAACTAACAGTGCACATTACCCTGAACACACCATCCCCACCATAATACATGGTGGTGGCAGTATCATGTTGTGGGGATGCTTTTCTTCAGCAGGGACAGGGAAGATGGTCATAGTTGATGGGAAGATGGATGGAGTCAAATACAGGGTAATTTCAGAAGAAGACCTGTAGACTCTGCAAAAGAATTGAGAATGGGGTGGAGGTTCACCTTCCAGCAGGAGAATGACCCTAATTATACAGCCAGAGCTACAATGCAATGGTTTAGATCAGGGGTCTCTAAACTTTCTAAACATAGGTCCAGTTTACTGATCTTCAGACTTTAGAGGAGTGTGGCCAATGGGAGTAGAAAATATCTTGGTATCAGAGGGTTAAACAATGTCCCGTCATTGGTGTTAGTGGGAGAAAAAGTGCCCCATTGTTAGTGTCAGTGAAAGGAATAGTGCAGGGGTGGCTAACCTGTGGCTCTCCAGCTGTTGTGGAACTACATTTCCCATGAGGCATTGCAAAGATGGGAAGTTACTGACTTGCAGAGGCATGATGGAACTTGTAGTCCTGCAGCAGCTGGAGAGCCGCAGGTTGGCCACCCCTGGAATAGTGCCTCAAGGGCTGCATGAAAGCAAGCAGAGGGCCACATCTGGCCCCCGGGCCACAGTTTGAAGACCCCTGATTTAGATCAAAGCATATTCATGTGTTAGAATGGCCCAGTCAAAGTCCAGACCTAAATCCAATCTGTAAGATGTGAGAATCTGTGGCAAGACTTGAAAATTGCTGATCACAGACTCTCTCCATCCAATCTGACAGAGCTTGAGCTATTTTGCAAAGAAGAATGGGCAAACATTTCACTCTCTAGATGTGCAAAGCTAGTAGAGACATACCCAAAAAGACTTGCAGCTGTAATTGCAGAGAAAGGTGGTTCTACAAAGTATTGACTCGGGGGCTGAATACAAATGCATGCTACACTTTTCAGATATTGATTTGTCAAAAATGTTGAAAACCATTTATCATTTGCCTTCCACTTCACAATTATGTGCCACTTTGTGTTGATCTATCACATAAAATTCCAATAAAATACATTTACATGTTGTAACATGACGAAATGTGGAAAATTTCAAGGGGTATGAATACTTTTTCAAGGCACTGTAAGAGGGATGAGTCAGGTACAAGCTTCTTTTGTATCTTATGGACTCCAGCTGTGAGATCTCCCTGCTATATTGGCTGTTCCTGCACACCTTCCCAATTCTCCTGTCCTTACTCTATAATGTCAGAGAAAGGCCGCCTTGTAATTGTCATAGCAGATGTGCTGGCCTGGGAACCTGACCGCACAGATTTTACCGCCAAGAAACTGTTGGGTAGCTTTAATTCTCCGGGGCCTACCTAAAACTGAAATATCAGCTACAACGCAACCTCTAATGGCAAAAGATAATAAGGGAATTGATGTTAAACAATGCCTTTTGGATCAGAAGGTTTATATATATTTTTTTACAATCCCTGGTGACTGATCCTGCCGTTTTTTATTTTTTTTGTTCCCTAAAATATACTCGTTCAGTTTTCTGGCACGTGTAAACAGTGCAGTCCATTTGGTCATAGTGAGGCATAAAGGAGTAGTAACCAACACAACATTTACATATACATGGGGCACAGAAAACTGGTCCAGAAACATTGTATACACATCAGTGTGTAGAACATGTCGCCCCTTTAGTAGAACCTCTCTGCTTGTGGTCCCCATGTGGCAGACTTGCACATGAGTATATAATTATATTATTCATACTAAATGGATAAATACTGAATAGTGAATATTTGTTAATGGAGATTTATGCTCTAGCTTAAGCTCACCTCATTTTTATGGGTATAGTCTTCATATAATCACAGTAAACCAGCCTGGTGTAATCAATATTGCGTTACGGCAAAGAACAAAGATGTTGCCCATAATGCAGTTACCCATAGCAGCAAAACGGCGCATTCAAAATGTGACTGCAAATTGGTTGCTATAGGCTATTGTACATGCACATTGCTCTTTGCCTTTATAAAATAAACTCTGTGCATATTCCTTATTTTTCATTGACACTGCATAGTGTTTTATTTGATTTTTTTTATTAACGTTTGTAGCGAAGGAATTTGTTTGTTCATTACCCTTTTCTTTTTAGCGTGCTATGATGCGATTCTCTGAGCTTGAAATGAAAGAACGAGAGGACCACACACCTACCAAAGACTTGGAAACTTGCAAATACAATCAGCCTGAGCGAGACGAAGCCAAGCCTCCCCTAGAAATTAACAAGCCAGTCTCTACAGTGCTGGGAGAGTCCATCATCAGTCAAATGGAAGGTGAGGAAAATAGAATGCAGAGCATTATCAAGGAGTCTGCAAGTTGACTGGGAAACGTTCGTCTGAAGCCTCTGACATTTTGGGCTTGAGTACGAATTGAATGTGTGTTTCATTTAACTTGGCGTTTTCCAGGCACTGGTACAATAAAGATACTGGAGCAGGGGGATTAGGTGATATTGAGCATGTGGGCATCCTGCCAATAGCCAGACGTCAGTGTCTTGAGGTTTTCTTTAAGACCTCAGTAGTGTTCACCAAAGCCTCATATAATCCACTCTGGTTAGCTCTGTCCTGCTGTTTGTGAGTTTTCTGTAAATGCTAGAAGCTGGTTTATAGATAAATTGTCAGTGTTTTATGACTATATGCTGCAGATAAAGTATAAATCTATTTGGTGAATAGACAAAAGGTTATTATATCTTTTACCTAAAATGTGCGTAGTTAGGGTTGCAGACCCATTGAGTCTGAAGCTTATCATTACACAGCTAGTAATGTAACCAGGTATTAATTCCAGAGGCGATTTCATAGGGTATTTAAATCCAGCAGTGTCTCATTTGTGAAGCTGTCTGTACTTAAAGGGATGCTAATATTTGGAAATGCAAGGAATCTGTATACGTCTTACAGTTTTATGTTCCTTAATGAACAAACACAGGTATTTCGACTTTTTTTCTGTACTTTATCTAGACTAGCCATGCCCTGTGGTTCTTAATCCAGCAATGTCATTGACATTGTCTGCTGTAAAGACGCACCCAAAAATTAGGAGGACTCTCACACTTCTGAGTGAATGACAGCAGAACTCTGAGAGCAAATAACGAGTAAGGCACCAAACTATGAAAAAAAAAAAAAAATGTTTTTTGTGTATGTATATGTGTGTGTGTGTGTGTATATATATATACACGCATGCACATAAAATATAATTAATCTCTTTAAATTAGATCTCTTTTAACTCGATAGAAAAAAATTAGGCCCCTCGTTACTTTCAGTTTGCAGAAGAAAATTTAATCTGGAACAAAATTTACTTTGATGAACTTCCATGTGTTTGCTCAGGAGTTGGTTTAGAACAAAGCACCATTCATGTATGAAAGCAGTGTTGTCCCTTTAAAATGGACCTTTAAAGCTGGGAATATGCAGCCACTCAAGTCACGGATATCCCTCCGTGTCTGCACAATTTCCGGTGTGTCTATTAATGTTGAGTGCACATTAGTGGCACAATAGGGGTTAGGGTTACTGTACAATGCCTGGTTAATGGGTATTGGCGCTCCATCTGTGTTAATTGCCACTCGAGCCTGGATCGCTGGGCGCTGCGAATCCCCGCTGTGCGTCCTATTCAGAAGCCCATGTGCTATTTTGCGATTGTAGCTGAAATCGTCTCAACCTGTGTACGCCGCTTCAATGTGTAGAGCGGAATATTTTCCGTTTCATTACCACCTCGCAGCTCTGCAGTGTGAAACAGCTGCTTGCCAATGTTTTCCCTTCACAGGTTTTAACTCTTTCCTGTGCCGTTTTATGCAGCGAAACCTCATGGGATGAGGCATAATAAGATCTTAGTGCTTAATATAGATGCAAATGTCATTCTGTGATTCCGCTACTGTTAACCCCTGGTTCATCTTCCCTTAGCCTAGCTTCAGTCCTTCTAAAACTTAGAAAGGAGTTCTTTATCTGTGAAGACATATTAAAGTATATACTGCCTGCTTCTATACCCATGGGTCTCCTATGGTAATGCTTGCCTGGCTAAACAACCAGGCTGCTCATATTCTACATATGTTTACTGTAGGGCAAATATTCATTCCTGTCTGTGCTCTTAAGAGAATAATATATATATATATATATATATATATATATATATATATATATATATATATATTTTTTTTTTTTTTTACTGACACCTATTGGGCATTGTGTCTAGGGGCAGAGCATTCTGAATAGTAACAAATAGCTATTAAAACATTTATATTCTATTAGGCAGCAAATGGCTCTAAAGGCACTGAAAAGGCACAAGGATTACCAATACGTGTTTTAGAAGAGAATATTCTATATTAGACACATTTATTTATTTATTGCAGGTACTTATATAGCGCCATCAATTTACGCAGCGCTTTACATGTATATTGTACATTCACATCAGTCCCTAACCCTCAAGGGTCTATATATACTGTAGGTTTTTTTTCTAAGTGGGTGGAAGTTCTCTGGGTAATTACGGACAGGTATGCACTTATGGAGCCATGAATAGATATTTCCTGTCTGAATGGTTATAGTCTAACCTGTTCTGTTGTAGACGTTTTCTGTAACAAAGCTAAAGTCCATGAAGGGGCCCTGTTCAGTGATTTACACCTCCCAGCTTATTAACTTCTAGGATAAAGCTTAGGGCTGTATGACGCTCCATGCTTCGCTTGAGGCAAAGCTAAAACAATGGAGATGTTAGGGCAAGTCCTCAAAGGAGAATAGTGTGCGACACAACAGGATGCAATGCAAAGTCTCCTTTCTTTACAGCACAGGGGAATTTTTTTGTTGACCTGGACCTTATTAAATTTCAGTATTGCAGTGTATTAAAAACCCATCATGTAGTGCAAACAGCAGTGTTTGCATCTTGTCCTGTTTTGCTCCGCATGCTTTTCCTTTTGAGGGACTGGAGAGATCCTTGCATTGGATATTGCACTACTAGTGTGGCTGTTTTGCTCAAACAGTGTGGGAAGTCTGGCCATAAATATTCATAGAACTGGATAGACCTCCAAATATGGCAGCACCTCCCCTACCCAATGGTCTCAACACGACTAATTTGAGCCGGACTCACGTCACACAGCCTCCATCTCTCCTGCAGAAGTTAATGAGCTGCAGGCCGCAAGCAGTAAATCGCTGAGCAGCCTCCCTTTGCAAGTGTGAAGAGTTCAGCTCATTCCTGGAGAATTTGTTTTTTTTAAACATTTTTTTCACTAGCGTGTGTGCGTGTGTGTGCGCGTGTGTGTGTGTGAGAGAATATATAGCTATATCTGCTACCAGTTCCCCAGCTTGCCCAAATAAATAAGGGATGTAACAGGATCGTCATCCTTAAGTGCTTCCACATTATTCCAGGCAGCTTGTGGATTGGGGGGCCACTGCAAGAGCGGCAGCAAGGCTTTTCTGGTTGCCCAGGAGACTTGTAAATGTTGCTATGGCAGTGAATCTGCAGAGCCGTTCCCCGGTATGAACGAGAGATTATGGGATGCATGTGCCGCATGAGTCATATGATTGTTCTCAGATCAAATGATCGAATGATCTAAGCGACTGGCGTGCAAGCATCACATCTGTGAGAGTCACGTGAGCCCTCGGCATGGAGAGATAATGAAGCAACAGGCAAATTTGAAATCCTGAGACGCCAGCAAGTGACTTGGAGTTGCAGAGGAGTTTGTGTGATCTCATTTCTGCTTTCTCTCCAGCGACGCAGAAATGTAGTCAGCGAAGACGCACAGTCCTTCTGTGTATCACGTTATTTTCCTGGAGACAGATTTGATAGCATTATTGTGTGTACGTGTTGCTTCAGCCGGGAGTTTCCTGGCTTGTCACTCAGTACCGAAGGGGACTTGTAAAGAAATTCTGACGTGCATATATTTTTTAGTGGCACAGAAGAAAGCGGTTTGTAGTCAGAGTGGAACTGATGGTGTGCTTTCTGCATTTCTGGTATATGATGTGGTGTGCAAGTGGAAAGAGTCTGTTAGGTTTTTTTTTTTTCTCCCCTGCCAGTAAAGATAATGCTGAGATAGCAGAAGAGCTTTGTGAAGCGGGACTTGTCTAGTGCGGTATTCAGCAAGAAAGCCACAAACATGCTTTCCACCCTAATCTACAGAAAGGGAGTATGATATGTATTGGTGTGTTGGCTTTAAAAGCAGGAAGCAGAGGAATTCTGCGGTCTTAAGATAGGCAGATCACAGAGTAAGCAAAGAATATACCAAAATCGTCAGTGTCATCTGCACCTGCTGACAAATGACTGTCAGTAGTAAAGCTTTTAGGGTTCTGCTATAGCAAGTACATTATGTATATGTTGATCGTAACTGGGTAACTCATCTCTTCATAATTGGATGCCCAGCTCAATCCCATGAAGACCCATCTTCAGCTAAGCACTTACATATTATTCCGTTTAATATAAATTAATAAGATCCCACATTATGACCTAATACTAGTAAGATGGATTCTTTTTTATACAGGAGAACAACAATTTGATTTGCACTCAATTAGGGTGTGTGTGCGTGTGTGTGTTTAAACCTTCAAACTTTGGGTCAAGAAATCTTGCTCTTTCTAGAATCTAGATCTTTGGTCACTAAACTGTGGCTTGGGGGATTGGATTCACTCCCTTCCTTGCCTTCATCTGGCCCTTTGGTACTATTTCTCCCATTGATACAAGACACTATTCCTTCCACTAATACCAATAATGGGGCACTGTTCCACTCTACAGTTATAGTTTCAAATATTTATGAACTGGTGCACTTTCGATTCAAATCTATTCAAGTCAGGAAAACTATTGTGACCTGTTCACTGTTTCATGTATGGTTGAAGGATCCTTTTCCAACAGGCTTGATCAATGGTTTGTATCTAAAAGTAATCAAACATGATTTCCTATGAAGGTCATTTTTGCTATCACTAAGCGGTTCCTTGCTACAAAATCTTTGTCAATGCAGACTTGTCATATTGCTATCAAAGTTCAAATCTTAATTTTTCTGCAAGAAAAATAACATTGTCAGTGCATTGAGTTTGAGGTAGTCAGCTTAATTTAAAGGATGTACATAGGAACTTATATAATTTATAGAAATCAGTGGACTGCGAAGGAGTCAGGGAATGTGTAGTTGCGATGCCTACTCTATCTTCTCTGAAAAAAATACTTGTAATCTCAGGCTATGATTATCTCTATCACAAGGAATAACCCCATCGCATGTTTGCCGGACAAGTGTAATTCTACAAAATCAAACCTCGCAGTTTCTTAATGAAACCATCAAGACTCCAGGGCATCTGGACCGTGACTTCCAACTGCTTTTCTTCTGGGGGAGCCAGTTATGTGGCATGTGCAATTGGATCAGCTTAAATGCTTGTTGAATAAAATTGATGAATATGTCCTATTTTAATCACCACCACACCTGTATTTTCCAGGTGATGTGATACTTTCTTGTGCCAGTGTGATTGAAACCTCACAGTTTCAAGAAAAAGAGGCCCCCAAAGAGGACTGTCCTTCAGAAAAACTAATTTCCTCCGATTCCTTGAAACTGATATCAGAAGACACCACAGACACAGGCAACCAAGGGCAAAGCGTGGGATTGAAGCGCAAACACCCCGGGGAGACCTTGACAGAAGATCTAGACAAACGGTCTAACTGCAGAGGCGAGACGCAGGATGACACCAGAGTAAAAAGGAAAAAGACTGGTGAGTAAACTTCTGGGGACTTGTAACAGCAGATTATCGCAGCTGTAATGTTCTTTGTGGGAGACCAAAGCAGACGTCGGTGAGGTTTTGTAACCAGGAGATAACCGGCAGAAGATACCACTTCCTTTTTTTACATTATTTCATTTCTTGAAATTCCGTGACCTTTTGGAGAACTGATCATTGCAACAACTGCATTTTCCATATTCAGAAGCAAGCGTTAGCAAACATTTTTAGTGGCAGCATCATTTTACTGCCATTCAGAACTGGTTATGCTTCCTTCCATACACTTGTACATCCATACCCAAGCTGGGCATAGACTAGGGAAAGCTTAGAAATTATGTCAGGTTTTACTGCTATTCAGGGCTACGCCACAGAGATTTCCCCTCACTTACTGTTCTGGTGAAATTTAACCAGACAGGAAGTGAGAGAAAATTTGCAACAGGGAAACGGACAACAATAAAAAGCTGACAGAAGTTCTAACATTCCCCTGGTTTAAAATAAAATATTTTAACTTGTGTCTCTCTTGTGGTTTGGGAGGTTTCCCTTCTCCTGTCTTGGTAACAACTTTTTTTATCCAGAAAGGAAGTTTAGCAATCTCTCCAAAGGAGCATAGAATTTTCTTCCTGTTCTATCTAAAGAGCTGCAACATAAGTTAAGGGCAATCTCCCTTATGGGGACACAGTCTCATTACAATACAGATGTCAGAGGCCATATGTATCTTAAAGCAATTCTCATTTTTTTAAAATTAAAATAACAAACATGTCATACTTACCTGCTCTGTGCAATGGTGTTACACAGAAGCACCCCAATTCTCCTCTTTTCAGGTCCCCTGTCGGCACTTTTGGCTTTTTCCTCCTGCAGAGTGCCCCCATGGCAGGCTGCTTTCTACGGGAGCACTCATGCATGCCTGCTCCTCCTGAGCCCCGCTCTGTGTGTCCAAAGTCACACAGTGCAAGGCTCTGCCGCGCCCCTGCTCTCTCCTCATTGGCTGTGATTGAGGACTGTGTGGAGGAAGAGAACCTCTGCTCTTGTGCACATTGCTGTTTAAGGATCAGGGGCTCAGGTGAGTATGGGGGGGGGGGGGGGGGTGGTGGAGGGCACTGCATGCAGAAGGTTTTTTTACCTTAATGCAGGGAATGCATTAAGGTAATCAAAAACCTCTGCCTTTAGAACCACTTCACACCAAATGGAATGAGTTCCTGCTTTGAAAGTCTTACAGTCCATTGTGTATAAGTGAGAGATTTGGAAGATGTAAGTGTTGTAATTAACCAATGAAGCAGCGAAGTGTGCAAGCAATGGGTTATCATTTTTTATGTCACAGCGCAGACTTATGCAGTATACTATCGTTAGATCAGAAATGTATTTTCTTTGGCTACTTCAGTTTTTTTTTTGTCTGTGTAATTAAATAAAGCATGTGTCTGCTGTGCAGCTGAACTGAATGACTGGAGGAAGGTTAACTTGTAATATGTTCTTTTTTTTAGATGACTGGCAAGAGAGGGATCTGAAAGATGTTCCCAAATCCACCGAAGAGTCCCACTGTAACGAAGTTACAAACCTGAAAGTCTGCATTGAATTAACAGGACTGCACCCCAAAAAGCAACGCCACTTGCAGCACCTCCGAGAGCTGGGGCAGCTGAACCGGAAGGAGCTGTGCGATAGCCGTGACATCCCAGAGACTGAGGACAAGCAGAGAAGTTTGCGAGAGGAGCTACTCAAGGCTAAATGTGAAAGCAAAGGAAGCTCTGACCATGTTAAAAACTGCAATTCTGCACAAGGTACTGCACTGCCTTTCGGGATCTTGGGCTGATCTAATATATATTTATTTATGCTTTTGAAGGGAGATAATTGCTGTTTAATTTTTAATGGGATGGGACTAGCTGGGTTGGAAAGGATTTTTCAGTAAGAATCCATAATCATTTCTGTTTTCCAGCTGTGCAGAATTTAACTTCTCGACTTTTTTTTTTTCTCTCCCTCCTCATTTCCTTCCCTTTTTATTCCCTCGTTCCCTGTCTTCAGACATTCCAACATCTCCGCATGTGAAAGGCTTTCCACCTGGTTGCCCAAGCAGCAAACGGCAGAGTCAGCCAAACCCCGCCCCAGCCCCCAGGTTAGCAGCCAAGCAGCAGAAGATTAGAGAAGGCCGCAAGGCGTACGTGTCGTGCACAGATGAAGAGGGGGGTCTCCAAGTCACGTCATTGCCTGAGGATGACACAGAGTGCGAGAAGCCCGAGAAGCCCCCTGGAAAACGGCAGTGCAAGACAAAGCACATGACTCAACAGGAAAGGAAGAGGAAAAGATTGCTGCTGGCTGTTGATGACAGCATGGATATAGGAAGCACAGACGAGAAGGTATTGTTTTTGGATTCTGTTATTAATGTGGCTACAAATTGTGTATTCTGGCAAACCTTATTTTAGGTTTTCAAGCATTATCATTCAAAGGGAAAGTGTAAGCAAAATATAAGGACAATAAGATTGCTTTCCAGAAATGCATTTTATTGCTTTATAGAAACCATACATATATTGTTTACTTTGATTTCCACATCGTATTATGCCAGGTTCACACTCTGTTGGGCTATCTCTGGCAAAGATACAATGTATCAGATTCATGGTATAGAGGAAGGCTGCAGAAAGTATTGCAGTCTATGGAACAAAGTCACTCGGGGGGGCTATATTACAATAGGTGCAAGGTGCCATGCTTTCAGTTCATTCTGTGTTTGTTCTGTGAAATGTGAGCAGTTCAGTGGAAGAGGTCAAAGCTTCTAAACTGCTTACTTGTTTCACTGCTTATAGTCAGTGAAAAGTTGGTCTGGAAATACTGAAGCCATAGGATCAGCATGGTAGACAATCATTAACTAACATTTTCAGAAGAAGAGGTCACCAGTGGCATCCTTTGTTTTTCACTGCAAGATTTGTTTTCAAGCAGTGTTTCTTTTAAGCATTTTGGATGAAAGGGAATAGGTAAAACCCCGGTGCTCCCTGCCACCAGTAGTGTCTGTATTTAGGGAAGAAGGAATGTCAGATGATTTCCCTATTTATCTTAGCCGGGGATCTTGGATACTTCAGTCAGGCTGATCATTCAGTAGAAACTGAAGCTCTCAATGCAACCCTTTGAAATTGAAACCTGAAGATAGAGGTAATGTTTACGTATTTCAGCTAGTTCTATGTCTAGAACTCTTTGGCAGAGGCGTACGTTTTGCCATGGAGTGTCATGTGCCTCGGCATGCTCCTCAAACCAATGCTGCCTTCTGCTTTGTTGGGCTCTCTGAAAGCGTATTGTTCTGCAAATCCAGAAAGAGGTTGTCTGCATGTTGAGTCATTTGCTCTATATGTTTATTTTCTCTCATCTTTAATTGCCTGAAATGCAGCGCCTGAAGAATTACTCCAGAGAGGTCCGCAACATTTTATTCTGTGCGACAGGCATCATTTCACAACTGAAAGGATTAATAGCTAGTTCTGTGCTAACTACATTGCAGTGCAACAAAGAGGTCACCAGCTTATAGATTTCTAATATTTCCTGCTTCTGTGTAGACATCTTGAAGTCATTCATTCAGTGGCATTGTGCTATGTCTGCTGACATTACACTCTTGCTCTCTGTCCCTCTCATTTGGCTCTTTTTAAAAAAAAAAATTTATTCCGTACTGTGTTGATTGCTTGTACTTATCTTGTGCATGAATGCACTAGCAATTTATAGTAGTAAGTTTGTTTTAAAAGGTACCCTACTAAAAGGACTTAAATGTCTTTACGTGAAACTCTAGGGTTAATGGTTATTGCAATTAAACCATAATTTTACTGTGATCTATGGCAACCAATCCCATTTTTCCCACTGCAGCCTTTGATATCAAACCTCTACTAAGTCGTATATTTCCTGTCTTCCAGCCAACACTTAGATGAAGAGCTCTTAAGCACTCTTCATTTGCCTGCCTCTGTCTTAAGTTTACCTACATCCACAGCCTCTGTGTGGCACAAGTGGGCCTATTTTCTCACAGTTGGTGTCTAGCGTGAATGCAGGTGACACTTTACTAATCTTACATGCTTTAAAGCATATACTTGCCTTTGCACTGCGAGCTCCTAGCTGGCACTGACATCTTCACCCTGCCAGATTTTACTCATCTTGATTAGACAAGCCCAGATTATATAACTTCAGCACATGCACACAATGCTTCATTCAACCTTGAAGATGTGGGGATACAGCTGCACGTGAAAAAATTTTTTTGCAATTGCAGAAGAGAAAAAGCATGTTTCTTTTGCATTTTAAACCCTACCTGTACACAAAGTTTTCATTTGTATGTAATGTTCTGCTTTAACACAAAACAGCAAATTTGCTTTAAAGTCCAAATCTGGGAAGTTTCCAAAATCTACCTTAGCAGTGACCCCCCCCCCCCCCCATTTGTAAGGGTTAAGTTCTAAATTGGTCTCGGGGAGTCAGGCTGCATTACTACTTGCCTTACACCCTGCTCCAGCATTCTCCTCTGCTGCTCCAGAATGTGGGTAGGCACTCTTTGTCATCATGTACAAAGCAGGGCTATTAAACTTGCATTGTACCTGAAGAAGTCAGATGTGTAACCACTGCTGGGAGCACCTTGGAGAGGAAGATTTGAAGGAACAGTCAAATTGAGAGAGCCTACAGGAGAAGGAGTAAGATACATTTTGCTCCTTATTTCTGCACCACTAGACTTAATTTTTGCTTTGTCCTACAGAAATAATAGTTATAGAGAGGCAATCTGTATGCTTCTTCTGGCTCAGTGACTCGGTATAGAAGCCATTGGACAAGCATGACAGCCAGGGAACAAGTAATTTCAGAAGGATAGACCATCAGTTGCAGCTTCTTTACTTCTGCAGTACAGGTTTTCTTTGTTTCAGTTCAATTTTGTGTAAATAATCAATTTGTGACCATGCATTAAAAATAAAGTTTCAATATACAGTATAGTTTATACATGTGGGCCATCATCTTGATTTTCTCACTGCTAAGTGAAAATCAATAGGCTTCACAGTAATGATTAGAGACCATATGATCTAGGTTGATTAACATGGGGGAACAACAGTTTTTGTATACATGGCAAAAAGGAACTTTTCTCACTCTAAATAATATGACTTGTTAATGCCAATAGATGCCCTGTTGATTGATGTGAGGTCTGCCTTCTAATGATAGGTCCTCTTTAATCCAAACTATCTAATTACAGGTGATCATAAAGGGCTTCAGGAAACAGACTGAACTCTCACCAGAGAACTCCCCATTAAGAATTGCAGAGCAGATAACATATCTACAGACTTCATCACAGCTATCTCCACTATCCAACCACCTTCATGATTCCACACCATGTCGTCCCATGCCTCCAGAAGCACGGCGCCTCATTGTTAACAAGAACGCAGGGGAGACCCTGTTACAGAGGGCGGCACGACTAGGCTATGAGGTATGAGCTTTGTATTGTTTTGTCTTTATTAATACCTTTTGTACTAACTACTGGTTGTGTGATAATTATCATTTAGGGCTACTGGGTGTGTGCTGTGGAAATTTGGTGGCTTGAAACTTTTTTTTTTCTTAAATTTGCTAATGTGACAGTTCTAAAAAAACTTGTACTTTCTCATCCTGAAACCTCATTGTGAAACCTTTTTAGTGGTTTTCATTTTCAGAGAACTGCGTACTATGTAGACGCTTTCTTCATTACTCAGAATACACAGAGGTGGTTTCCAGATACATTTCTCTTAGTTTTCAAATCCTACTTGATCTTGGGTGTTTTTAAATTGGAATCCGCTCATGTACCCTTGCCACTGCTAACAGGTAGTCTTCTATAGGGCAGCAAAGTACATATCTGTATTTAGTTTGCCTGCAATAACACCAAATAATAAAACCATCATTTACAGGCCATATTCGTGAGTAGATTCATACATACACAAGATCATGGATAGATTTTCCATCAGATACCAGTTTCATTCTAAAAACTGGCATACACCAGAGGGTTTCTGTAGACTCTACCTCTCATATATGGAAAGTCCTATGTATTAATGTGCCAGTACCAGTTCGTCATAGTCACCAGTCATAATTAAAACTGAGTTGTGTGTGTTTGAATATACCACAATCAGAGGGAGAAGTTGCATAGCACAGGCCTCAAGAGCATTCCCACTCACCTCACTTGTGAGGAGCTCTGTGGAATCTGCTTGTACATTACATACAAAATGTGTAAACTAAGCTGAACTCTCAAAATAACATAAACCTGTTATAACAGAACCTGGAGCCTGCTACTCCTTTCTAAAAAAAAAAAATGGATGCTTTGCTATTTGACCTGATTTTATTCTTTTAGTCACAGAGCTGAAACAATGGCGTAGACTAAGACATCTGATCTAAATTATAACCAGACAGCATTTTAAAAAACAAATGTGCTGAAGTAGCCTATTTGAGCACAATTGCATCGTTTCCTGGATAGCAAGAGCAATTCATTGATTGGCGTCACTTTTCTGGACCTTTTATGGCCTTTTGTAGCACATGGTGGTAAAGCACAGAGTACAATGTAAGAATCACTATGGTAGCAGAGATCTATGCACAAATCAGTGAAAGTTAATGTTTCTGTATTCCCTCTCTGGGGAGTTTTCAGACACCAATGTGCTTCATTTTATTACTGTATCCACAACAAGTTATTTGTATTCATTTTTATTATTATTATTATACAGGATTCATATAGTATCAATAGTTTGTGCAGAGCTTTCCAAGAGAAAGGGAGACCATACTGTTGTAATACAATTCAATACAGAGTTAGGAAGGCTCTGCTAATTAGAGTTTACAATATAAGGGGTAAATATATGTATGTGGCATAATGATCATGCAAAATCCATTTTAAGCAGTTGAAAAAGTCATTACCTGAAATGTCCTGCCTGATTTTCAGATTATATGTAACCTATTTAAGATGTGATAGAACAGTTTTTTTAATTGCACTATAATTGAGCTATTATGGTTGTTTATAGTCGAGTTCCTTTAGCTTGGCATTAACTTGTGCACTTGTTAGAGTTTTTCTTGCACTGCCATTCTAGCATTTTTATATTTGTATTTGGGAGTACAATTAGAGTTCAATACGAGATGGTTTTGTGAACTCCACTCATCAGAGCTTACAATCTAAATCTCTCCTCTATAAATAAAACTAATAACAAAGTATATGTTTTTTTTATTTATAGGGGGCTAATAAGGCATGAGCATTATTTTTTGCATGTCCCTGGAGTTCACTTCTCTGGTTCATCTCAGGCTTTCCTGCAGACCTGTAACATTATATGGCAGCTTGTGCCATTTAGAATAGATTGTAGAGTTACTGGAGCATGCTTGCTTGGCCTCCTGCGTGTCAGAAAGCTGATCTCTAAGCTGGTACCATGCAGTTGCCCACATCTGATCCAGTCATGTGACACAAGGGTATCGTTCCCTTACTTGTACGAGCATCTCATTAGCTTTCAGCCTCTTGCTTTGGTCTAATATGTGCAGCCCCGACTAAACGAAAAGGCTTCATGCTGTATCCTAGCGACCGTCTCCTTAGGTCAGGCGCGCCCAGAGCACAGATTAGCGTGCTCTCTCCCTGCTTGGTTTGAATCAGAATGAATAAAATGCTCTCGAGCTATTCCTCTCCACCCCCCACCCCTTCCCTCCGCCTGCTGACTAATAACAAGCTTGAACGCCAGGCAGTGAATCAACATGCGCAGCATCTCTGAGCAGTCTCCTTAACCTTTATAGATCGGCAGAGCAGGTTTCCTGGATCTTACAGCTTCTGAGAAATGGCAATACGCTTTATGTGCCGCCTGGATACCGCTTTGCCTTGCATGCAAATCATCCAGCTCGCATGCAGCTACTGCTATGGGGACTTTATTTTTTTTTTTTCTGCTCGGTTGCTGTGAGACACTTTTGAAAACTTGCTGAAAGCAATTGCCGTCTAGCTACAAACACATGTGGAAGCCCTCGTTGTCGTCTGCATTCCTAAAACACAGATTCTGTCTCTGAAAATAGGCTGCTGTAAATTCTCCCTTTTTCCTCTGAGTAAAGGCAGTTTACATCTGTTACTGTAGTTGACGTTTCTCAAGAGAGTCAGGCTAATGGAACATCTCTTGGTGGGACAGCTGTGTATAAAAGTCGTGTGAAGCAAAGAATGTCCGCTGTGATGTAAATTGCTACGTGTATTTATAAAACCAATGGTGGCGGTTGCACATTTCGTGGGAAGATTGACGAGCTAGCGAGAGCAGCTTGGATAAAATACAGTTCAGCCAGAGCGTGGCTTGATTTTCAGACCTTGCTCTTTAACCCATAAATATTTTTGTGCCTGAAAACAAGTGGCGTGTGTTGGCTGTTTGGAATGTTCTAAATATACACCCCACCTCAAGCCATGGTTCACAAGTACTTTGATGTTGCTCATGGCAGTCTCAGCAGATGCTAAACTTTGAATTACCTGTCTGTCTGTACACCTGCTGTGTTCTGTAGCTTTCATAAGCATGAAGCCAAAAAAAGGTCATCTCTTTTATATAATTTTATTTTTCTGTTTCACGGTGTGAAGGACTGCATTTTTTCAACGGTTTATTTCATGATAAAAGAGCAGTTCCAGGCAATAGGTGAAAGCAGTCATTGAGCTACTAATGCTACTGGGTAAAAAAATGAACTGTGGAAAAATTAGAAGGCTCATTCAGAGTCTACCTTAATCTGTGTAATCCCATGCAGCCAGATTTCAAAGACCAAAGCAAACAAACAGCACTTCTATCCCCACTCCAGGATGTGCTTGATAACCTACACCGGTGCTCAGGCTGACATCTGCTAGAAGCCCAATACATATTGTAGGCGATTCTATAGAAATTGGCATCTTGGTATAATCCAAAAGCATGTATCCTTCATTAAAAGAGAAGTATGTGTTTAAAAAAAAAATATTTATACTCGCCTAGGTGGATGCAGCCGCTGATTGCTCAGGACTTGTCTTCAGTGCGCAGAGAGCTGGTGACTGCCAGTCACTGGCTCTCTGCTTTGCCCTTCAAGAGCTCAATGGTGGGCTGAGCTGTGGAGGGGACCGGAGGGGCTGGCACAGGCTCTCGGTGGCTCACTGAGAGGCAGAGCCAGCTGCTGGTGCAGGCATCTGGGTGGATCCTGACTGTATGGTTGGGATCTTTTCAGAGCCTGGTTCTGGTGAGTGACATCAGCTGACAGCAGTCACTGGAGTGCAGAACAAATTTCACCCCTTTGATCCCCAGAAATAGCTATGGCTATACTTCTCCTTTAATGGAGAACAGTACATAAAATCCACATTTCATGTGGATTGTATGTACTGTTCCCCATTAATAAAGGATACTTGCTTGTTTTTACCGAGATGCCACCTTAACAGACTCAGGAGGAGGATCAAAAGAATTCTATTCTAATTCCTATGTAGCGTCCCTTCACTTTTCTCTGCTTCCTGCATCACCAGTCCCATTCAAACTTCCCAGACAGGTTTAAAATCGGATTGGGGACTATGAAACTGTTTTACTCTGAATAAAAGGTGACAGGTGGCTCTAAGATTACAAGGTGTTGATTAAAAGGTGGGTTGGTGTATTATAACCATATGCCTAGATCAAAAGCTGACATACGGCTGTCATTTCAAGCTTTGGTTTTTAGTTTTGATTGGAGTCTGCCTTCAAAAGGGAAACCCCCATACGTATGTTGCAGCAGAATCTAGTAGTGATTTTGGTGTGTATGTGTAACAGTCAGCTCAATGCTCTTTCTGACAGCCCATGAATTCAAAGTACTGAGCCCTGATGCCTGTTTTAGTTGTTGATCACTGGCCATAGCTAAAGTGTGTTGAAAAACATCCTGAACTGGAAACAATAAATGGAAGGCTTTAATCTTCATGTAGTCAGAGCATTTTTTCCTTTTTTAAGTAGTTGACATTGCTTCCTCCCTACAGTAACTAGTTTAAGATATTGACTTTTCATTAATTTTAATGTCCTGATGCAACCTCAGACGGTCATCTACAAATCCTTTAATTTTCATTTTTGTGGGTACTTTTCCTCGCCATTTAGTTATTTAAGGACATTACGGATGATTGCATTGATTAAATGTGATATGATGGCACAGCCTTTCATATTGATACAAATGGCTGTAATTTGCGGTAGTGCTGGCCTACCTGGTGCAGGCTGCTTTGCATAAAAACGGAGTGTCCTAGCTCATGCAGGCTTTGTGCTGCCATACACAGTATCATTTTGACATATCATCAGGGGGGATTAGGGTATCAGCCTTATACAAACAACTGTAAAGTCCAAAGTCACAGATTTCAGGATCTCATTCGATATACGTGTTCTGTTTCTTTGCTTATAAGGAAAGTGTACTTCCTACTTCATCTCTTTTAATCAAATTTGATCATTGTTACTATGTTCCACATACAGTAGATGCTATACAGTAGACAATAGCAAGTTACTCAAGAAGTTCTTACCTCCTTAAGTACACCAATGGCCTTTAAAATATTGTGCGTAGTCCGGCCTTGGATATAGAGAATATTGGCTCAGGATAGAGATGGCTATTTTTCTCCAGGGCTCATATGTATTGTTTCAGAGGCTGCAGGAGGATAACAATGCCTAGTGTTGGACAGTGAGGTACTAGCATTCATTCACATCCCAGGTGTGTCATAAATTGACCAATTTGATATGACTAGGAGGAGACAGCGGAGTGTGGAAAGACATTTTTTCTTCTTAATGTGTACATGCAATATCAGAATAAAAAATGCGTTATCACAATATCAATTGGCCATTTGTTTGTTTTTTTTTGGTTGATATCACACTGATATTAATATTTATTTGTTGGATCTGTCTTTGTTGTACGTGTGCACACAGTAATTTTTCAGTTTGTAGTAGTAATGATTGTGCCTGTTACAATAGCTTTAACTGTATTGTTTTCCTATACAGGAAGTCGTCCTTTATTGCTTGGAAAGCAAGTCCTATGATGTGAACCACCGAGATAATGCAGGATACTGCGCATTACATGAGGCTTGTGCTAGAGGATGGTTGACCATTGTCCGACATTTACTGGAACACGGGGCAGATGTTAATTGCAGTGCACAAGATGGAACCAGGTGGGCATCTGCTGTCCTCTCCCTTCTACTATAACCCAGGGGCTCATGTCCTGGAGACAGCCTGAGAGTTTATAACTGCTGCATGTCTGGATGATTTTAATAATGATTCTTTCTACTCTCAGGCCAATCCATGATGCAGTAGAGAACGATCATCTGGAAATTGTGCGATTATTACTGTCATATGGCGCTGATCCTACTCTGGCAACTTACTCCGGGAGAACAATTGCCAAAATGACGCACAGTGAGGTGATGGAAACCTTCCTAACTGGTGAGTTTTATTATCAGGCGCTGCATGTAGCCAAAGTCAAAATATGTAACAAAGCGCTAAATGAGGATTTATGTCATTTGTTGTTTTTAATTAATTGCAAACGTTTATGATTTCCAAATTTCATCTTCGGTTCAATGTGTGTGAATAGTTTTTTTTCTTTCTTGCAGTGAGAGGGTTTCTGTAGTGTATCTTTTTGTGACTGGTAGACTCATTGTGAGGGAGGCTTGACTGTTTCTGTGCTGTGACAAGTACATGCATTAGTGTGTTACACATATATGATTATCATTATTGAACGACTGTTTTAATTATTAATTAGGTAAGAGCATTTTGATTGTTGAATTGACTTTGCTGCAGTGGAATTGCAGAGAGCAACCTTTTACTGCACAAATAAGCTTGATAGAAGATCCTTTTATCTTCACAGCAGAGAGGCCTGCTCTGCTGGAAGTGGAAGCACATGCTCCTTTAAGAGGCTGCTGGCTCCCAAGTTGGACTTGGTGACATAATGTGTGTTTGTTGATAATGAAGTAATTAAGAAAAAGAAACAGTTTACAAAAAAAAACCACACAAAACTCTTGAAATAAATTTTTACGAGTGTCTGGAAGATGGAGGTCATTATAAATCAAACTAGGATGTGGAATTGGGCTGCAACCTAAAGACCTCTTGATGGGTATAAAAAGGCAAGGTGTAGGTAGTTGTTTAACCTTTTGGCACCGGCTGCACTCAAATGTGCGGCCTCCCAAAGTCTGGGCCTTGACATTTAAGAAAAACGTGCTGAGAGCACTCCCAGCACACATATCCGGTACTCACGGAAAGGTCCCGATCTCCTCTTTCGATTGGGACCTTTCCTGATTGTGTCACAGCAGTCACATGACCCTAAACCCCGCCTCCTGGCTTCTGAAACCCTTAAAGGGCCGGGAAGCGCCGGCACCATGGGGTTAAGAGGCTGCTGCAGCACCTACCTTACTGCAGTCAAAACATCCCCCCACCACCACTACCTGCTGCTTGTTGGGTTCGTTGAATTCTGTGAAAGTTGGCCTAACATGATTACACAGCAGAACCACTGCTTATTGAGCTCATTAGGATTGTGCCGTATTGCGATACTTTATCCAAACTGACTAGACGACCACCTCCTTACAAGCGGTTAAGGCTTTTATTTTAGCAATCGCACCTAGCATTTGTCTTAGGCCCCACAGTTCCTTAGGCTGCTGACTGTGTGTACAATAAATGTATATTTATGCAAAAGGAAAAGCATCTCAGCCTTTCAGTGAAAGTATGCTGCATTTCTGTGCTTTCAATGGTTAATGAATGACAAAGCTCTTTTATTAGAAACCTGTTCTTAGAAGGTTAGCAGATTTACATCCTTTTGCTTGGTTCACGTTTGCAGATTGCTGTGACAAAGAAAAGACTTGTATATTTTTAAGCGCCTTCTCTAAGAAGAGAACGTTCGCACGTTACCTCTTATCAAGGGCATTTTCTGATTATAAGACAGCAGGAGACAGTTGCTGGCAGCCTTGCTGCGCAGATGTGATAGTTGTTTTTTTCCCTCTGTCTACCATGCTAAAGACAGCTAAATTAGGTAGCGATGATCTTGGCAGTCGCATAATAATAAAAAATCTCAGGAACTGGATTGAAACCTGGTTTAACCTGCAGGTTTAATAGCTCTCGTGCCGCCTTAGGACACCGCACTGCCCCTGCTGTCAAAATCTTACCTGTTTAGACTATGAAGTGCTAGAGAGATCCTTACTTGACACTGAAATGTCTACCTGCAACCAAAACAAATTCTAGCAGTACTCATTCAAGCTATAGCAATACCACATAATGTACTCTTAATAAATCTTCTGCACTTATTACATAGAAACTGCCTATATTTTACTTTTATTGATACTGCAAATGCTACCCTTTTCAATGAGTAGATAAGAGTTTAATAACAGTGTTCAAAGCTTTTACCCATTCTTCTCTTTTGAATAACAGGAGCTCACTTACTTTCACTCTCTTGTGGCACACATCTGCCGACAACGGGTTTAAGCTTGCTGCTGGCTTAAGTCACAGAGCCGCTTCAGGCTGTGGAGGGATCCCGACCATATTGTCAGGATCCTCCCAGCTGCCTGACCAACAGCTGCCTCTGGCTCTCAGCCACATGCTGAGAATCCAGCTGTGTCTATCCCTTCTCAGTGAGCGCTGGAGAAGTGACTGATGGCTCCAGGAAAATTGAAAACTGAGTGATAAGTGGTTATGTGATTCGCTCAGCTCTCAGGCTTGGAGCCGGTGTGGGACAGCTTGCAGCATCACACTGATGATGCAGCATGGAGGTGAAAGTAACCCAAACTTCACCTCCTAGTACATACACTGCCTGTTCACATAAGCATGGGAACTACCTACTTGAAAGAAGATTGGTCAAGTTGTATTAATACACCAGCTGTGTTTTTGTGTACAATGTTTTCTGCACATCAATAGCAAACTTTTTAAATATATATATATATATATATATATATATATATATATATATAAATATAGAAAAAAACATTAAATGTTATATGACAATAACTAAAGATACGGGTGTGTGTATATATCTGACAGAGATACTTTGCTGTAATAATGTGAAATAATAGTCACATGTATCAAGCTTTCCTTTGGAGTATTTACATTTTTGTATTTTTTGTGTTTTTTGCTTCTCTAGAATATTTAACGGATTTACAAGGGCGAAATGGAGATGACCCTGGACTTTCCTGGGATTTCTATGGCAGCTCTGTCTGTGGTGAGTATAAGCAGCAGCTCTTAACCATTTAATGTTTGGAGTGGCAATGTCACAAAACTGTGTTTATATGTGTGCCTGATTTATGGGTAGTCTATCGATCTCTGTCCTACTCGGCTTTCGGTGAGGATAAATCCTCCCAAGTCACTAACAAATCAAAGCTACTGTACACAGTTTAGAAAAGCATTACCAGAACATTTTAAACTTCATGTTGTTTGACCTACGTTTAGCAGGTCTGAAGTGGTTATCTGTAATTCACTTTTAACTGATGGAGGAAGGAAAGAGAACTTTCCTTTATGTTAAATTCCTTTGTTCCTGTGACTTTGCACTTGAGACTTACTTTTATAAGGTATTTTTGGCTAAAACAATATTTAGCTTAGCAATTTAAGATGAATTATTGACATTGCTGTGGCTTTAGGTACTCTGTGCCGTCTGTCACATTATTGACACTTAACTCCAGGAAAGTGAATAGCCTTTTTTTTGCTCTAATTTACAAGAAGGTTCCACTATACACAAATAGGCACACTTTCACTCAGGCATAAAGAAATCCATAAGCATAGGCATTTGTGTGAAGAAAACAGGGTAGGGTTTATACATTGATTTTACATGATTTCGTAGGCTTTTGCGTGCTGCCACAATGTCCCTCTTTTATGAAAAATAAAAATCCCTAACATCCACTATTTTGGGCCTGCCATATAATTTGCCAATAAACAGAGAAGGGTCATTTATAATATTTAAAAATGCAGTCTTGGGAGCTATGATAGAGGTTCAGTTAAAACTGCTTCAAACATTTCCAATCCAAAAAGTGTAGAATGTGTATGTTTTAGTTTGATCCTATTAACACAATTCTCTGTCACATAGATCCAAAAGAGGAAAGTGGATTTGATGTCCTGGCTAATCCTCCGGGTCCAGATGATGAAGATGACTGTGTAGATGCCTTTGAATTTGAGTTCTCGGACAATCCCCTTTTGCCTTGTTACAACGTCCAAGTCTCCCTTTCACAGGGGTATGTTAACGTTTTTAAGATATAGTAGTTCATAGGTTTGAAGAGGTTAATTCCAGTTTGCCGAAGATTTATATTGTCTTTTTGGGGTTCTTTTATTTTGGTGATTTGATTGTGCTTTTCTAAAGCCCTATTGTAGGGGGTTGTTTGTATATGCATATATGCACATCTAAATATCAATGCAAAACTCATGCATTTCAGATCTCAACAAGGGTCAAACTAGACATAAGTAGGTGTGGCATGGCAAACTGGCACACCTACACATAACATGCTTTCCTCGTTCTGTGCTAATTAAATTGTTTAGCATGTCACATTGTAAGTGACTGATTGGAGTGCATACAGCAATGTGAGCCAGGGTTGTTGCCATGGGTTTGAATACACATGAACAAGGGTTACATGTTACTGCCAGTAATTTAGCAGTAACAGTAATTTAGCAGCAATGAAACATGACTATATTTCCAGGCTGCACACAGCGATGGAATAAATAATATATAGTATAGCCACCCGCTTGTTCAAGGCACACAATTAAGCAGAGACCGTTTTTGATAGTTGCTCCTCTTTCATGCTTTATTATCTCATTAAGGGTAAAATGTTATGGCACTTTTGTGATATTCCGTGTATAATAAGCTGCAAGATACGCATTTAAGATGCTTCGTGTTATCTGCTAGTTAGATTAAGGTCTATTCGCTTTCACAACCTTGCGTAATTATGGTGTGTTGTCCATTTCCATTTTGTAGTGTGTACAAATTTCTTTTGCAGCCTGATGTCCTTGTTCAGCTAATTAAAGGTTAATCAGTTGAAGGTCTGTGGTGTATATGCATTGTTTTTATTTCTCCCCAAGTTGTTTGTAAATGGCTTTCTGGTACTTTGGATTCATTTCCATTTGATTGTCAAAGAGCAGGATTTGTCAGTTGTGGATCTTTTAGGCCTGATTGTAGAAAGTGCTGTTATGCAGGATCTCTGACTGTATTGTAATGTTCTCGGTGTCTCCAAACCCCTATAAAACATTTTTGCAATATACTAAATACTTTAATTGGCTTCCTTTAGACAAATCTCATCTTGCCAGCAGCAAAGATTAGTCATCTTTTGTCTGAAATCTGATTAGTAATTGCCTTTCTAAAGGGCTTCTCAGTGTGCAGTCTCCTTATTCCCCTCACTTTTGTTTCTTATTTACTTTGAGCCATGCATGTGATCATTGAAGATGGTGAAATAAGGCTGTGGGGTGCCACCTTAGGAGCCACACTTTTGTTTGCTGTCCTTCTCACACACAGTTCTAATTTCGGGTCAGTAAAAGTTTGCCTCAGTATTTCTCTTTAGACGAACAATGATAACCCATGAACCATTTATAGACCATTTATAGACCCAGATGAAGTAATGGGGAGATGCCAACATGCATGGCATAGTGATTGTGAATGTAGGATTGGCGGTGGTGATGGGGATCTGAATGCTTTCTTCTAAATGGTCAGATCCATGTGTCTAGCCAGAATTGCAACAAAAATCGTTTTTCAGTTTTGTGTGGGACGGTCTGCATGTGAAAGGTTTTATCTTTGCACCTCTGATGTGGCTGTCCAGAACGATACATTTTTTTTTTCTCTGCTGGTCAGAGGTCCGTGATATCCCACTGAAATCAATAGTGATTTCTTCGATTAGACGAGCAACAGGCAGCAAAAGAGCTGAAGATTTTCAGCTGTACATCTCAAACATGGATTTTCACATCTGTAAATTGGTTGTGGTGATTCTGTATTTACTAGAATAGTGTTTTCCTCCTTTTTATCTACATGTGTAAAACACTCATTTACCATGTCTGACATGACAGTGTCTATATCAGTTTGGAGATGCATTTGTGCAGTACATTGATTTTCTGCTGTTTTACAGAAACATGTTAGCGCAAATGTTTTTGGCACATAAATTTGTAGCACCAATAACCCAGTATGTAGTGGTAGTTATTTTTTTTTAGTGCTGTGGTGTAACATTTCTGGAAACCTAAGCAATTTGTAGTAACCCTCATTATATTTCTGACCTTAAAGTGGTTGTAAAGGCTAAAGGTTTGTTTTTTTTTAACTCCATGCATTCTCTGCATTAGAGAAGAAAACCTTTCATGTTTTGTCACCCCCCCAAGCCCCCTATATACTTACCTTAGCCCCTCCAAGCCCCCTATATACTTGCCTTATCAACATTAATTTCTCATTACCGTAGCTAAACTGTAACATACTACCTTTACATCAGAGATAAACTATGCTGTAATATATTCTCAACAACAATTTTACTGCTGTATAAAATACTCAAGATATTGGTGCCACTAAAACCTGAGACAGATTGCCTACTTCAGAATCAACTGACCCGACAGCTGTGCCCCATTAGCTAATACTGCAACTTGAATTTTTGCCAAGTTGCTCCCCATTAGTCTCTTTTTCCAGTAGTCTATGATCAGATAGCCTTTTTTCCCTATTTACAGGGCGTCCGAGATCACCTGAAGTCTGACAGATGCCAGCCTGTAACTGCTTGCCATCACGACGCCCCAGTCTTTTAAGTGTAGAGTATGTTAGGTCAGGCAATTGATTGAACAGCTACTCTTGGACTTCTGGTAACCCCTGACTCTCTACACGGAGAGAGAAAAAAACTGCATCTGTCAGATTTCAGATGTTTCTTGACTCGTTAAATCAGAAAAAGGAGAGCTGACCATAAACAACGGGGACTGAAAACTAAACGAACTAAAGTTTCAGAAAAAAAATTAAAATTAAAAATTAAAATAAAAACAAAATCATAGGTAATCCTGCACAGTTATAGTAAAGACTGGATATTTAAATACCTGCAAAAATCTATTTGTGACTGGTTGATTTTTATGTCATACTACAGACTGCTTTTGAGGTTTTTGTATATTAATAATTTAGAAAGAACACCACTGATATTGTTGTGATGTCAGCAAAGCGATTAACTTTATTTGTACTCCTATATTTTTTTATAGGCCCAGAAATTGGTTGCTTCTGTCAGATGTGGCCAAGCGTTTAAAGACGTCCTCGGAATCATTCCGTAGCGAGTACCCTCACCTTGAAGTAGTTAGTATTACCGAAGCAGAATTCTACAAGCAAGTATCTTTAAGCCAGCTCTTTGCCTCTCTAGACGATCTTGAAGGCTTCAGTCCAGACAGCAAAGAACTGCTTGAGCTGGTGGAATTTACGAGTGAACTGCAAACATTACTTGGATCGTCCATCGAGTGCTTGGATCCTGAAGGAGACACGTCTTATGCCAGCTGTTAACAAGCCAGGCCCTTACCTAACAGTGTAATATAAAACGGATGCTTATTTTGTGAATATGTGCTATAGAGAGAGAACACTATTCTATAAATAAGTGTAAAAAAGAAGATTATTATATATTCGCTTCTATTGGACTATTTTTTTTTTCTTTTTTTCCAAAAGCTCTAAATAAATTTCTATGGTCCTGAAAGGTTCAGTGCACATTTTGCTTTGGGAAAACTAACCTTGTTTTTACTTGTAACGCTTTATTTTAATATTATATAATTTTTTTTTTTTTTTTTATTAAAAATTTTTGACTTTTACAAAGCACTGAAGGCACGAAAGATACTTTATAATTTGTACTCGAAAGTCATGCAGATTGTGAGGAGTTGGCACTTCATGACGGTTTTTTTTTTATGTTTACAGAAATTACCTGTTTTTTGGTAAGCAATGTTGGATATAATCCAATGTTTTGTAATATAAACAAAATTCTAAATATATAAATATATATATATATATTATCCATAGAGATTTGTTTGAATTTTTGTATTCTAATTTAAAATCTCTGAAATGTTAGTTTTCACACTTAAATTGAGTGTGTGCATATATGTGTGTATATATACGTATGCATTTATATATATGTGTGCACACACCTCTATACATATATAAATATATACATACGTTCAAATGTTTTATGCTCTAATTTAAAACAAAAGAAGACTTTGAGCTATTTTTGTTTTCTCATGTAAAATATTAAAACTGTATTATAAAGTGTTGCGGTCCAGCTAAATTGTATATAGACTGAGTCATTTCTTGAGATGATGTGTGTGCAATGTTTTGAGATCTGTGTCCAAACTTTGTAAGTAAACCACCTGCCTTTGTATTTATATTTTACAAGACTTTTTCTTAAAAAGGCAATAAAACCATTTGGTAAATGGACACTGTGTTTTTGATGTTTTTTTAGTTCACCGAGATGTGTAAAGGTTGTATAAAGCTGATGCTCAGCCAAACCACTAAATACATTTTATGAAGGCGTTGTATTTTATGCCAAAAAAAATGTAATGCTCATTAACCAACTTTTGATCTAGGCACCCTTGCCAGACAACACAGCTAGGATTTGTCCTCTGCACAGTATACTGTAGTGAAATGATGATATTGCCTGGTGCACGACCCCAGCTAATAGCTGGACAATAAAAGAGAGACTGCATGGTGGGAAAGCCATTCCTGTGCTCTCTCCTGTTAAAAGGATATCCAGGAGGAAACACTGACAACATTCTGCCAAGAAATATAAACCCCTCACTCCTTTCTAAATTCTGCTGTGCAGGGGGGATTACAGCAGACTGTTCACCTATCAAAGTGAATATTCACACTACAAAGTGAACCTGTGTTCGCTTCAAATACCAAATCGTGTGAGGAAAAATAAAAAACAGGATATTTTTTCTAGAGCATAATTAGGTATATGAAGTGAACACATCAATGACGCTCTGTGCTTCTTTATGCAACGCAGGCAGATCACAGCTGGTGGGAGGGGCAGCAAGGTGCTATACATAATTTCCCAAAATCAGCACAGGATCCTGCTCCAGTACTTTCAAAACCCTCAGCCCTGATATAAGCAGTTGGTTGACTCTTGGGAAGAATTATTCAAAATCATAATGCCTTGATGGGTGGATGTCAGAAGTAGTTGTTTCTATGCAGACTGCCCTAAGTAATGCCCACATGAGATGCAGAGCCTACATGTTTGGAGGAACTAAAATGCAATAAAAGGGGTGGGTCAGGGACAGTTAGGCTGGGAGGAAAAAAGGGCTAGAGGATGATGGGACCTTCTCTAGCCAGGAAATGATGTGGTCTTCATCTGACTTGCAACTTCTATTGCACACTGTGCGAAGCTCACAATGTGCAGTGAAGTTAGATTAAGTATTTTCAGTGCAGAGCCTGTACAACAGCAAGACTGAAGGTAAGGTTGGAATTCAGAGGCCCTGTTCACACTTGAGTGTTTTGTAGCTTGTGGCACAAAAATGCTCAACAAGCAAAAACCTATTGTTTTCAGTGGTCCTTGTTCACATCTGAGCGTCCTCTCACTTGTAGCAAAACGGCAGCTGCTCAAAAAGGTAAATGAGCTACTTTTCGGGCAGAATTGAGTGTTTTTGTCCCCATAGACTTCAATGGAAATGACTAAAAATTAGCTTTTTCAAGCTCAAACATCAGTGTAGCCCCAACCTTAAAGGCTTTTTTAAAAAAAATTTTTTAAATAAAACCCAGCTCACATATGCGCCAATATACCATTAATGTACCACAGTTGCAAAAATATACAAGCTCTCTTTGATCCGTAGAGCAAGGTCTTACCTTAGGTACATTTCTTAGAAAGTTTTTTCAATTCCTAGAATGTAGACAGAGGACAGAGGAGCCAGTAGGACCCCGGATGCAGATTACCAGCTGATCTCATTAGCACACATATCCTGCACTGACCTCATTAATACACACCCTTCACCCATCAACTATTTTTCACAGCATCCCCATGATCTTCTTCCCCCCCCCCCCCCCCAACTTACATTTGCCTGGCTACCCCAGCGTATCTACAGACGTGCTTAGGCCAAGTGATTGGATAGATGCTGTGTCCTCCTATTATATAGTTTTGGTAAATGTAAAGGAGATTGTACAGAGATTGTACGATCAGATGTATAGTGTATGGCCGCATTTATACACCTAAAATTACCTAGTTGTGTTTTCAGTGTAATTAACTGCACACCAAACACAGAAACAAGCATACATTTTGCCACATGAAAAAAAAACGGATGACAAATGCAGCAAAACATGCAGTAAAAAATGTGCAACACACGTCACACCAAAATATCGCATGAACTACTTTGCCTTGTGTAGCGCAGCCTATTGAAATGGACAGGTTGCCCTATGTGTGTCACTGGAAAAATGAGCCAAAAAACGTGCTCCCTCTACTCTCTATGTGAATGGGGCCTGAAAGTGAAATTGTTTACACAGAACAATGAGGCTCCATTCACATGTGTGTTTTCCAAATGCATGTCAATCTGCTCAGAAAATGCACGCTTTGCTATACATTTCAGAAACAGACTGCAAATGTGCATCATGTTTGTATTGTCATTACATGTTATAGCCAAGTGCGGCAAACACACCAAAAACTGCAGTAACACAACATGCTCTTCTCCAAAAAAGTTCTGGAGCGATTGTTGCGTGTATGGCAGTCTGTTCAAGTGAACGGGCTACCCTATGCGTGACGAGTGAAAACTCTCCAAATTCCCAAAACAAATGCATGTGTGAATGTGAGTCTTCACTACGTGCAGATGTGAATGGGGCCTGACAACTGAGTGTCTCCGTCCACTCCCTCCTATGTACTTGTATAAAGACAGCCATACACTATGCAATCTGATAGTACAATCACTGTAACATTTCCTTTAGATTTACCAGAACTATGGAATAGGAGGTCACACCTGAACAATCTATTCAATTTGTATCAAATCAGACCAGCCCTTGTACTACATAGCTGATGGGAGAAAGTTAGCATTGTAATGAAGGAGGTGTGGTCCAGAGTGGTGAACACACCCTCTTCTGTGATGCAACAAGGAAGTGAAGGCTTCTGGGAAGTGGCTTACGGGAAGTGAATGCTGAGAGACCATCGACAGGAAATGAGCAATCTGAAGATCCATTCAAAATCTCACAGAAACTGTCAAAAAAAAGAAATGTCCTGTTAATGAGGTAAGTGAGAGAAAAGCACAGTGGGATGGCTGGGCCAGAAAAAGCTATTTATTATGAAAAGTGAAATTCTGCCCCAAAAAGGTGAACTTCTCTATTAAGAGCGCATTCCTTCCAGGCCCATCCATTCCATTGTGTTGTGTTAAGGCAGCCTATTCATTTGAATGGGCTGCCTTGAGAACCACAACAGACTGAAAATTGGTCCTTTTGGCATTTTCACTAGTACAGTATAGCATGGGAATGCATTACCACATGTCTCGGTACGCTTCAACACAGTATTGTTAATGTCCTGTCATCCTCTATCCTACAAAAAACATTTATTTATTTCAGGTACTTTATATAGCGCTGTGAATTTACACAGCGCTTTACATATATATTGTACATTCACATCAGTCCCTAACCCTCAAGGAGTGTACAATCTAAGGTCCCTAACTTACATTCATACATACACATATTAGGGCCAATTTAGACAGGATCCAATTAACCTACTAGCATGTCTTTGGAGAGTGGGAGGAAACCGGAGTACCTGGAGGAAACCCACGCAGGCACAGGGAGGACATGCAAACTCCAGGTAGGTGGTGCCGCGGCTGGGATTCGAACCAACGACCCTAGTACTGTTCATCCACTAGTTACACAAAAACACACCACAAATATTCTTCAGGGGTGCCTTGGCAAAATGTTTAAAAGTTGCCCAAAACTTGTATACAAGCCAGCAGGTGGAAGAAGCCTGCTTTTTAGTTACACAAAGCCACAGGTTTTCATTGTGCACCATTATGGCCTCCAGCATCCTGACAACCAATGACATCATCAGTTGATAAGGAGGATGTCAGCTACCTGCACAGCATCCTAGTTTGCCCCTCCCCTGCCCCTCTATCAGTGCAGGGGGGAAACATTAGCTCAGTGATGGAGAAAAAACTGAGGGAGAAGAGAAACATTGGCATACTAGTCAGTATCAGTGTGCAGTGTGTATTTGCTGTGGAAGAATAAATCACCTCTAATGTTGGCTGTATTACATGTGTGGATGTTGCTGCATTATAAAAAACTATTAGAATAGTTTTTCACATTTTAAAATGGGGTGCCTCAAGACTGTCCATAATTTTAAAGGGTGCCTTGACTGAAAAAAAGGTTGAGAAACACTGCTTTAAACAATAATCACCAGAAGGTGTAACGCAGTGGTTTCTATTTTTAAAAGGCTACCACTGTAATCTGGGTGGGATGTACATTTGATTCGGTAGTACATATTTTTTTACAGTATATGTAAAACTTTTCACCTTGTTAACCTTCTAACCCCACAAGGTTTG